AACCAAGCGCCAAAAATTCGCCGAAGTGGGCCTCCCCGCTCAAAATTTGGAGTGTCGATCCTGCACGGACTCCAAAACGGCTCAGCAACGGAAGGAATGCGAGAGACACTCCACAATCTGCAGGGGAGGAGCGTTGCAATTCACATCAGGAATGCAGCAGTCAAACGCATTGCAACAAGTATCTTCAGTGGCCGGTCAAGTTCCGCCAGCACATGCAAGGCCCCATGAACTACGCGAAAATAGGTGAAACAAGGTGAGACGCCGTTTTCCTATATCTGTACACTTTACCCATCCAGTGCCGCTACGCGGGTAACAGCCTGGGCACTGTCTAGCGACTCAGGTTAGCAGCTTGTGTGGTCAAGACGTTATGGCACTCACAGGACCACACGGGTGCCAGCCTGCAAGGCGCATTACGAAGGCGTGGCTTCTAAGGCCAGCAGTCTAGGCAGGCTGCTTAGTTGCTCTGGTGGCAATGTGTGCTCATGGGAGCTGGCCTCTAGCATAGCCGCGGTGCCAGCCTGAGGGCTCAGTAACCTGCCTCTCTAGACCATGGACTTGGTCCTGCATAGGAATCATCTGTCCATTTGTCCTCATCCTTCCGATTGAGTGGAAGAATACGAACCCACGTTGGCTTGTCAAGGTTGTCACACTTGAGGAACTTGGCTCTAGAGTATGTGCCCTTCCAGGTCACGCTTTTTCCCACTCTGTGAAATTGGCAGAGCTGTGTGCAGCCGGCGAAAGCCAGTCTGGCAATGCAGTGCATTTTTCAAAGGCCCTAGGCATCAGCTGTGCCTGCGGGGCCAGTTGGTTGGTCGTATCACTATTGGTTCCAATTTGCATTAAAGAACAACATTCTTCGAAGACTTTGAAGAATCTCTGTTGCCATGCGTTTGGAAGCACTGCTGGACAATCAGGTTTTAAAGGGGTGCATGCTCGGGCCGGATGATTTTGAGTTTGTCTCCGGGCTTGTGTTCCTCTGCCCTGACATTCATGCAAACAGTCATCATGTATCATACATAGTTGCGCTACATTTCACAGTTTGATCTAGGGCGGTCACCTATGTCACTGTCCCTTGTGGAGAGATAAAGGAGCCAACATACTCGAAATAGGCCCATACATGCGGGATTCCAATACCTTCCTTTGGCTCAAGTTGTTTGGGGAACACGTGCCCACTGAAGAGGTGCTAGGATGTTTAGAGAACCCTCCTCGCAAGACAGCACACCCGCAAGCGAAGAGCGATCTATTGTCTTCCACCTCATCCTGATCACGCTGCTGGGGATGAAATCCAACTGCCCATCGAACTCCAAGAATTTGACCGCCTCAGTGAGTTTGAGAATGCTGTAATCGAGAGTCTCCCATTCATCGGCCAGCACAGCACCTTTGGATGTGAGCTGGAGTTTGTCAGCAGGAGCACCCAGCAAATCCTTGCGGACCCCGTTTGGAACACCATACAGGAATGCAACTGCTCCAGCCTTGTTGTACGCCGGTGCTTCGTACAGGCGGAACGCAAAGGGCAACTGCGACAAAGAGCCAAATCCATCTATGTTCCAGCCGAAGACAATGATCGAGTGCTACCCAATGCATTTTCACATGTCTCAGACATTCGGCGTGTGCAGGTGGAGGCAGGTGTCCACACCATTGTTGAGGCCGCCTGGCAGAGTTGTCAACGACTCCAAATTGTTAAACTGCCGGACACGGTTGTTTGTTTGCAGGACGGTGCCTTTCAAAGGTGCTATGAGCTCAGAACTGTGCTTGTTCCAGGGTGCAAGCAATTCGGACGCAGTGTGTTTGAGGAATGCTGCTCTTTGTCCCAGATAGGAGCTGCTGAAGACACAACCAACCTGCTTGCCCCGCAGGCCCAGGTTTCCCCACATGCCTTTGCCTTGCACTTCGGCAGGTCAACTTCGAGAAAGCAGCTGCCGATCCCTCGAACTGCACACGGTATACAGTATACCCCAGGGATGCTTCCTGGGGTCGGGCATTGACCAATTGAATCTGCCAGCTGACTTCAACTTCTTAGGGCCCGCTGCATGCGAAAACTGCAAGCGGCTGCAGCGAGTTGAGCTCTCTCGGACTGATTTAAATGCTATTTGGGGGTCAACCTTTGCGCACTGTTCGCACCTGGAGCAGCTCTGTCTCCCAAAGAAGCTACGGCGCATTGGACAAGAAGCCTTCTTGCTACGTTCTTCGCTGCGTGAAGTGCATACCCCGCCTGCCTTGCTGTATATTGCCCACCGAGCATTTTCAGGATGCGCACAGCTTAGGCGACAGATTAAAATGGAAGCCAAAATGACATGGAGGGGACCATATGTCGAAAGCAACACTTTCGAGATGTGCCACAAGTTTGATATGCCAGAATGGGTCAATTCCTTACTGTGCAATCAGGGGAGCAGTAGGACATTCAATGCCGAAGAATTTGACGATGAGTTACGCAGGAACCTACACTGACAATGCTTGCCTGGCTCAGGCTGGCGCCTATGTGTCGGTCCTGCAGATCAACCCTTTCGCCTCTGACGACTCTCTGTACAGCGCCACAGTGTAGTTAGTGTCAGTCCTGGATGAGTACAAAGAGTACAGGCCTCCGAGGCATACTAGCTATAGGGTAACGGCGTTTCACCTGTGTTTCACCTAGACAGAGGGGCTCTGCATGGTACAGACGTTGACGGACGGCTTCCTCATGCCGTGCACATGCCTTGCATATGCCTAGCTCATGCCTTGCACACTGAGATGCGCGCTAAGCGGCTCCCCATGAGCTGCTTGTCTGTCCCTTTCGATCCTGTAGGGGCGCTTGTCTTTCCGTGACTCCCGTGGCAAAGCTGTTTTGGAGTCACCGCCGCAGGCTTGTGACGCATCGCTCTCCTCCTCCTCCCCTCGGGGAGGAGTTGCCCCCACTTGTAAGGAGGTCTCAGTTTTGATCCTGCGTGAAAGTGGCTACGCTGCAGTCTTGCCTGCAACAGCCTGAAGCGTTGTAAGCTGCTTGCAGTGGTTTTCCCCTGAGCCACATCCATGTTGACATCCGAGCACCTTGCAGGATTGTCCGTCCTCAGGCAACCAAGATGCTGACTCAACGGCTGCCTGCATGGCATTTTGATGCCCTCCAACATGCTCGTGCAAAGCAAATTCGCCCATTGTGTCCTGCTTCAGAGGTATGCTTATTGACAAGCGCGTCAAGTCAACACAAGAAAAGAAACAGGATATCGCATGCTGTCGCAATGAAACATAGTAAAGCTTCATGGTGGCGAAGATGCACTGAGAGTCAACCGAATTCATCGCCCCTGTCTCACCTCCTCCCATTTTGGCTTACACGGCCTTTGGAGTTACTCCTCAGGTTGCAGTTTGCCTTTGGGGGCCTGGTGTACCTGGATTGTAACTCTCTCTTCACTAGCGCAAGATGACCTGTGCAACCTCTGCACACATGGCGTCTCCACCCGTGCAAAAAAAGTGCAAGCAATGATATAATACTCTCGCTGCAGGACGTTCAGCACCTCCTACGCGAGTGCCTTCTGACATTCAGCGCCATATGGCTGGCCCGCTTACCACCTTGCATGCGGAGCTGAGTGGACTTCTTTTCGTTGCCCTCCTGATGGCAATCATCCACCCTGATGCCGATGATCAAGACGTCGGGTGGGCTCTCAATGCCACAGGAGGAGCGCTTACGCCCCTTTCTGTGGCTGTTGGCTTTCCCTTCCTACTCATCATACGGAAGAAAGCATTCCAAAGCTCTCCATGATGCTCTCAAAATGCAATCTCGCCCTTTGTGTCCTTCTTCAGGACGCACTGCCATCGATTAGCGCGAGAAGTCAACACCATAAAAGGTGTCACGCAGTCACATGGAATGCAACTCGATACTCCATCATGGCGAAGATGACTGAGTGCCAATGCCGAAATTCATAGCCCCTGTTTCACCTTCTCTCAGTTGGCTGACACGGCCTCTCAAGTTACACCGCAGGTTGCAGTCTGTCTTTTGGGGGGTGTTTTTTGGTTTTTGTTTTTGGGTTGGGGCTTGGCGGTTGCTTTGTTGGTCCTTTGGTGGTCTTCTTTACTGCAACCTGGATCGTAACTTTCTCTTCACTAGCGCAAGATGTCCTGTGCAACCTCTGCACACATGGCGTCTCCACCCGTGCAAATAAAAACAGCAAATGAAAAAGTTAGGAAAGACAAGGAAGCTTCCTCTATTTTCCTGAGGGTTGTGCGCAAAGACATACCGCAGCCTGTAAGGCGCTTTGCCGATCCAGGCGAGTCATACTTGCTGTTACGCCCAATACCTATCACCCCACCGTCCGCCCCTTGCAGTGCTGGTATACCGGATTTTTTGCACGGGTGGAGACGCCGTGTGTGCAGAGGTTGCACAGGTCATCTTGTGCTAGTGAAGAGAGAGTTACCAGCCAGGTTGCGGTTCAGGAAACCGCCAGAAAATACCAGCAAAACCAACACCAACCCCAACCACAACCACCCAAAAGCGACCCCAAAAGAAAAAACCGCAACCTGGGATGTAGCTCAAAAGGCCGTGTCGGCCAAATTGAGAGGAAGTGAAACAGGGGCAATGAATTCAGCACTGACTCTCAGTACATCTTGACCGCCAGCAGGGAGTGTTGGGTTGCATCCATTGTGACAGTGTCACTCCTTCCTTTGTACTTTCTTGTCTTGCTAGTCTTTGGCGAAGCATCCTGAAACAGGACACTGTGGACGAGGTTGCATTTGGAGAGCCTCATGGAAAGCGTTGGAGGCTGACAAGACGACCAGCGCTGGTATACCGGAGGAGACCCTTCGATATAGCGAACTATGCATTGGAACTAACTTTTTCATTTGCTTGCTTTTCATGTACCAAGTGTGCCCTCTGAGCGGGGCCTTCCTTTGTCAGTTTTTGGCAATCCCTCCATTGTGGAACATTGGTTTAACGTTTGGGCTTGCAGGCTTTGGGCCTGTGCTTTGGTCACCACTTTACATGACAACCATGGTTGGCAGTACTAGATGTGTCATGTCTGCAGCTCCTTTGGCTCTTAGCAGCCCAAGTCACCTCTAGGAGCCTGTGCACGCTTTCGTTCGGACGTGCAGTCCACCTCAGTGGAGGGCACCTAGAGCCGTGTGTTCGTTTGCCGTCTTGCTTTCGAGCTGGATCTGCCGAAGGTGCAGGCAGCAACCGCAGTTGGGGGCCTGGCGCAGTTACTTGTCCCAGTCCGACCACTTCCTATGTCAACAGCCGGAGTCGAAGTCGATGACCCGTGATGTCCTTGACGGACGCCGACGTGCAGCATGATAAATCAGACTTGGTCGACAACATTGGCCCCGAGGTCGATCAGACCAAGCCTTATGTCCATGCCAAAACGGGGTGGATCACTCGAGCAGACGCACACACCTTTTTCCATGACCGTATCGATGCCAATAGAGCAAAAGCGGATGCCTACCAAGCCCTTCGAGCTCCTAATGCAGCACGTGCCTTCTAGGCCAGTGCAAAACAGAGGATGTTCGTTCGCAGCCAAGAGATGATGACCCGGAGTACGCCGCTGATGACCCTTCCGGACATGTTGCAGATCTAGCGGCTGTCATCTGCTACCTGTTATAACATAGAGATCTTATTGCCACGAATGACATGATTACTTGATTGTCGACAACCATGACCCTGCTGAGGTCGGGCACTGGCCTGCGTTTGCAATGTGGTGGGCATCCAGGCGCCAGCTGGTTGGCCCTCAAGCTGAGAAAACGGACATACTGTGGATTCGTGCCAAGGCATCACCTCAATGGAAGAAGCCCAAGCACTCCTTCTACGGAACTTTCGAGGAGGAGGATGAATGGAACATGGCTCACGGAAATGATCCCTGCCCTCCTGGCTCCTATCCCGTTTCGAGAATTCTTTGGCATTCTGGCTCTCCTCTCTTCCTGCCTCAGCTCACTTTTGTCGAAGGGCCAAGGCGGACAGTCGCATATGGGCCAGTTCAGCCATACAGCGTGACCATAAGGAGCTTCAGGTGACCCCGCCGAGCCCAGGGGCTTCGAGGAATGCATGAATTTCACACAGCCTTCCCTCGCTTCAAGGCATGGATTTTTCGGTCAGCTGACCGAAAGGCCATTTGATGAGGTCCGCGGGAGCTCGAGTTGACACGGAGATTGAGGACGAAGTGACCTTGCTGGGTTGGAAGGTCTTGCTTTTCTTTTTGGTTGTGTGCTTGGTAGCTGCTGGATTGTCATGGATGTGGAAGAAGATCAAGCGCCTCGAATGGGCACTGGTTCGATTGCAGAACGAGCTGGATGTGCTCGTTCTGGCTGACTTCTCCAATAGCCTACATGAGATGGAGCTCACATGGAGCATGCAAATGTACTACACCGAGGATCCGCCAGGGCTTGATCTATGCGGATGGCTATGTGCAAGAGCCGTCAATCAAGCCTGAAGAGTGGGAAGTGCTGAACTACATGGAGAAAGTCAACAAGTGGCGCGACGGCCTACGGTTGAAGAGGCGATAGAACATCGTGAACAAAGTGAAGGAAGAGAAAGGCCCAGATCGTCTACCTCAACGACCAAGGTGGTTTGCCAGAGGATCAGATTATGAGCCACCATCACTTGGTCCAAGTGATCATGAAGGTGAAAAACAACCTGTTCTCTCTGGAGACACTGCAACCGTGAGGTTTGATGATGGGAGAGTGGTTGAGATCCCGTGGAGTACCTTGCCCGAGACATGGGTGAGCCAGAACCATCACCGATGTTTGATCAGGATGAGGAGAACGATGAGAACATGACAGAGAGTGCAAGCACACCACGTGGAGTTGAGTGGAGCCCGGAGCCGATCGAGATTGAGATTAATTTTGTTTTCATGAGCAGAATTTTCGGATCGAAGCCAGTTGGTTCAACTACGTGCGCAAAAATGACGCGCAGATGGAAGCTACCCTGCACCCACAGATGCAGGAGTGCTTCCTTTTCATGTCATGGGTCAGCATGGAAGCGGAAAGGCTCCAATGCTGAAGGGGGAGTGCGTAGACATCTAGAAAGCACTCACCCAAGTACATGTGATGTACACCAAATGGTGACACACACAATCGAGAAGTGTACCGTCAAGGCCGCCATTTCCAGATCAACAAGGGATCCGCAGTTTTCAAAAGACAACCTATGTAGGGTGCCACAGCAATGTACGCTCAAATGGTGTTGCAATTGTTCACTTTTGGACTTGCACGGTTTGATCCAATTGATCCAATAATCAAAGATTATGCATGTGCCATTCAATCATGAATTTCAATTGTTTTTTGATGTTCATGGACACACTCACAGACTTGGAAAACCGCAGCAAGCTACATTGTTATTGTTTTTGAAAACTGATAGTTTGGCCACGCATCCAATTGTTGTGCATTGTCTCCGCATGGACAATTCAACTGCAGGCTTGTGAACCTCTGTGTGAAGGTCAGAGAAGTAGTGTCCAGTTTCCCGTCACACAGGCCAAGTGGAGTATGACCTTTTCCAGGAATGGTGGCACAGCCCCCAGTTGACTTTTGTTGAACCGATCTGTTGACTTTTGTTTTTGTTTATTGTCAGGTTCTATGTGTTGATGTTCTTCATTATCTATGCCTTTGCTGTCGCTTCCTCAGACTCTTCTTGAGCACATGTTCTTTTGTCCGGAATGTTGGACAAGAGGACTGCCGCAGCTTGGAGAACCAAGGTGGCAGTCCATCTATTTTTCGACTACCGTCAATGGGAATCGGACCGAGTGGGGAACCCAAGAAACTTGGCGTTTCTTTTCCGAATGTCCGTGTGTACATGCCTGGGCAGGTGAAACTTCTCATGGAAGAGGCCTTCTATTCCGTGAATCTTCTTTGAGCGGTATTCCAAACACTTTAAGCTAAATAAATCCAATTGCCACAAAACTCTGCCAGGAAAAAGACTTGCCCAAAATGGGTTATTTCTGGTTTGACATTTCAACAAATCGCAATCCCTCTCTTTGTCTTTCAAGTGGGACCCTGTTCCAAGATAGTCTTGCAATTATCCTCTTTTGTTTTTCACCAGTCTGATGGTTGGTACTGCTTGACATTGGTCTTTGGTGCTGTCTTAGAGGCCCCACAGCAGCTCAAGTAGGTACTCGTATGTTGAAAGAACGAGCCCAGCTTAGAATGGGCTTCTGGGACATTTGCTATTTAGGCTTGATGCTGGTGTAAGTTTTTGTTGCTGTCAACACATCACGCGGTATCAAGTCACAGTTGTGACAGGCTGCTACTGCCTCATCAAGACCGGATGCAAAGAGGCACCGTTCGGAGTGATGTGGTGTTAGCAGAAGTATGCATGTATGTATATATATATACACATTCACTTTGTGGTCAAGGCAAAGTGTGAAGTCAGAAACTGTGGGGCACTCAGCTTGAGACTCTGAAGCCTTGACGCCTCTGCTGGGTGGCCCTGCCAAATCAAAATGGCTTTAAAGACGAAACGCACACGCCTGGATCAATTTTTGCCGTACTTCTTTCTGAGTTAAGTTTTCTATTTCAATCTTTTTTGTCTGGAGGCTTTCAAATGTGTGCCTGTTTTGGTTGAATGAGTGCTTTCATGCGTTCTCAGGGTATCTCCGATATCTCCGACAGTTTCTATTTCCTCGAATCCGAGTGCTTGTCCTTGTTTAGATTCTCATTAGCCTCGCAGCGTATTCCTTCTAGATTCTAGACACTTGTTCATACTCGCTCTGCCATCGGCTCACCACTTGTGCCTGTTGAAGTTGTGTAGATATTTGATCCTGTTGCCTCTTGCATGCTCCGGGACGAGACGACAACGAGTCCTTGTTGGCACACAATGCATGCAAAGCAAAGCCACCAGTGGGGCAGAAGAATGTTGGAAAAGGCTGGAGGAGAGGAACAGCTGTTGAGGAACTGGGCCAAAGTGCAAGTTGGCACAGAAACTTGAAGGCAATCGGCAAGCTGGGAAATCCCATGATCGTGGTGGGCTGGGCATGCTTGAGCAACAGAATCTGTACATGTACAAGTACAGGAGGCAAGCGGACAAATGGAAGAAGAGTTTGGACGGACACCTGAGGCAGAGGGCAAACAAATGTTCGGGGCACACTGGGCACACTGACCAAAGAGGCTCTCAGTCAACATAAGCTCGCAAAGCATGTTTGTCCTTGTGCGTCGGGTCTTTGCTCGACTATTCGTGATGCGGCGCCTTGATTCAGTGCTCTCGGCAATATTTGCATTAATCTTGGAATCAACCTGTTTGGGGCTCTCCTTTGTGCTTGCTTTCAAGCCAGTTTTGGACATCAGAGTCACAGATGGCGCACTCAAGCATGATTGATTGACCTAATCTTTTTCATTTCTCATACTTGAGAATTGAGAACCATTTTTACAGTATACTCACATAACGCCTAGTCACAAGCTGTCATTTTGGGTTCCCATTATTGAACAGTGTGTCCACGATCGTTTGTTGTGGTCTTGAACACTTCTGTACTGGTTGCTACATAGTTCCTACGGTTCCAGGCTCATGCACTGGAAACCAGATTGAGTCTGCAGGCGCATTGGCCACATGTGTTTTCTGCTCCGGTACTTCAAGCATGTTTCCATTTTCCTGCCATTTTTACAAGTTATATACTTGTGCTTACGCGACAAACTTGCCGCACAATACCTTTTCCAGCCACGTCTTCTGATTTGTTCCTCCATGATTCTTGGCATGCCAATCACTGAAACTCATCAAATGCACATTGCATTGACCCATGATTCATGATATACACCGTCGGTCACCGACTGTATAAGATCCTGTGGAATCAGAAGCTGCTGAAAGTTTGAAAGCACCGTCCGTGCTGGATGTTGTACAGAGAGAAACTCCTGTACACTGTACAAGTGAGTCTGTGTTGTTTCAGATGTCAACATTGTGAGGTGTTCATGAAACGCATAGGCTGAGCACGAGCGCGCCGCGGCTCTGCCGGCGATGAGTCATTTAAGTTTCTGAACTAATCAGCTTCCGACGGCAGAGTATTGGCCTACCGGGACAAGGGCGAAGCTACCTCAACTGACAAACTCTTACTGGTGCTACTTTGGAGTTGTTCCTCAATCACCTAGCACTCAATGCTGAAAGTATAGCATTAGCGTAGCACATGAAACGAACAATTGGTGACAGTTTTCATTGTTTTGGCGGTTGCTACATACACCCTTGCGTGGCTTTTCCCAGAGAGGAGTTCACTCTGCTACATCACAAGCTTGGCAGTTGCTTCGTTGATGTTCCGTTGTTTTTCGTTCAAAACTGGGATAAAGGCTTGACTTGTATCCTATGACTCCTCATGTCGAAGTAACGAATGAAATTCCGGATTATCATAATTTCCTGCGCCTTTGCTACTTGGTCGGGGTGAAGACTGCTCCCAATGCACTGCCTCACATATTGGATGGCGTAAACTGCAATTGGGTGCGTGGTTGGGCCAGAGATGTGCGTTCAGTTGTATGCCGGAGCAGAGTCCTTCGTGGAAATAAGATGAAGGCTCAAAATGGTTGAAGGCTGGACATCATGTGCAGCAGTGGATGGCTCCACCGCGTTGGAGCGGCCAAAGCTACCGGTGTTCCTTCGTTTTCCGGTGTGGCTTATCTGCGTTTTGTCTTCACTCCTCTGGGCAACGTTCCGAAAGCTGGGCTGGATCGAAAGACTTTGAACCTTTTGGGAAAGTTGTGTAATGACTCTAATGACAGTCTTTGCAAAGAGCGTCGAGTCAGATTTACGTTGTGTGCCGGAGACAACGCATCAAAGAGCATTACGGCATATTACGGCTGTGTCCAAGGGACAGTTCACTTCGCCCTCGATGTGTTTCAAGCAGGTGTTGTGGATGCTGTGAAAAGGATAGCAAGACGCGACTGTCCAAGGCACAAACTTCTTCACATCTCACAATGCCCTGTAATTGCACTGCAAAATGACACGACTTCATATTGCAAGCCGAAACCTAGCATTTTGCTTCTGGACATGTCGTGCATTCCGCGACTAGAATTCCAAGCAGTGTGTCGGGTGTCGCGATCCAAAATGAAAGCCGCTAATACGCAATGCTGAATGCAACATGTGCAAGCATAATTCAAAAACTGTATTTTCGCCCAAATGGAAAGATCCCATCACAAAACCAACCATTGCATTCAATCTTCTTAGCAGTGGGCCCTGCGTGCGACATGCGTTCTGCAAAGATTCAGCTACCCATAGACTGGTCCCCATAACCTCCCGTCACTGATTGTGTTTGAATGAAGAATTGTAAGGGCTCCGCCCGGGTGCCGCCGACCCCTTTTCATCTCGAGGGTTTGGCGGTTGAACCTTGACAACTTCCTGGGATTCAACAGCGAGACTTGGATGGGCTTCACACCAATGCTGGCATTCAACCAGCTGCCGAGAAGAGGGCAAGGCTGCGGTGAGGCTCTGGGGAGCGTTTGAAGCCGAGCCAAAATGCCTAACGTTGCCTTCGGAAGCCCATAAGAAGAGAGGAGGCAGGCTTCGGACAGGCCACAGAGAGGCCGCAAGAGGCCTGCCGGCTGCCGAGAGGCTTTTGAAGCCGGTCCAAAATGCCTCACGTTGCCTTCGGAAGCCCATAAGAAGAGAGGAGGCAGGCTTCGGACAGGCCACAGAGAGGCCGCAAGAGGCCTGCCGGCTGCCGAGAAGCTTCGGACAGGCCACAGAGAGGCCGCAAGAGGCCGAAAAGCTTTTGAAGGCGGTCCAAAATGCCTAAACGTCGCCTTCGGAAGCCCAAAAGAAGAGAGGAGGCAGGCTTCGGACAGGCCACAGAGAGGCCGCAACAGGCCGGCCAGCTGGTGAGGCCTCGGACAGGCCTTTGGAAGTGCTTGGAAGGGCTCTGCTAGGCTTGGCCAACTGCTGCATCCTGCGCCTTTGGAAGTGCTTGAAGGGTTCTGCTAGGCTTGGCCAACTGCTTCACCCTGCGGTGTCCCAGGCGCCTCCCCGCCTAGGCTTTGGCTATAGGCCGGGGTCGGCGGATATAGTATTGTGTCTGCCAGACCCCTTTATTCTAGAAGTTGATCATAAAAAACGGCAACACCAAAGCAACAAAAGTGCAAACCAAAAAAACACTAGCAAAACAAAGAGCAACCAAGAAAGCAAAAACAAGGTGAGCCCGCGGACCCAAAAGCAAAAAGAAGCGCACAACCCAGGAAAAATAAACACACACTCACACACATTAGCTGGCCAAAACGAAGCATCAGCCCCCTCCAGGCTTTGTGGCAACCATGATATTTCAAGCATCGCGGTTCTAGTGCGCATCCGTCCACCCTTGTCTGCCATATACACCCCCGTCCACCCCTTGGTCAGTTTTGAAAGCCCTCCAAAACGGTCACAAAACGATTGCAACATGGCTTCTGACAACCGTTCCAGGAAGCATGGAGCAGCATCAGCCCCCTCCATGGTTCGTTCCAACCATCCAATTTCACGCATTGCGCTTTTGGCACGCAACAATCCTGCCGTGTCGGCCATGACTTGACTGTCTGGCGCGTGCATTGTGCACATTTTGGACACCCAACACCATCGTATGAGCCCCGCAACACAGCTCCACTCACCTCGCAACGGGCTTTCGCGAAGCATGGAGCAGCACTACCCCCACCGCACTGACCCGGAGCAGCCTGCAATGATGCTTGTGGTGCAACCATGTGCTCGACGCAACAATCCTGCCGTTGCGGCCACGACTTGACTGTCTGTCGCATGCATTGCGCACATTTTGGACACCCAAGACCATCGTATAAGCCCCGCAACACAGCTCCACTCAACTCCCAACGTGCTTCCGCGAAGCATGGAGCAGCTCTGCTCCCACCCGTGCTTCGTTCTGCTTGTGCACTGACCCTAGCAGCTCTAGCATATCAGCCGCGCAAGCGTCCACACCCATGCGCTCCCCAGCCCCGTCCACACCCATGCCCCATCCACACGCACCTCCACCCATGCGCCTCCCGTCTCGCTCCCCTCCATCTTCCCTCCCCAGCCCCGTCCCCGCCCATGCGCCTCCTGTCGCCTCCCGTCTCGCTCCCCTCCACCTTCCATGCGCTCCCGTCTCGCTCCCCCTCCATCTTCCCTCCCCCCGTCCCCACCCATGACCCTCCCAGCCCCTCCCCACCCATGCGCCTCCCCAGCCCCCGTCCCCACCCGCTCCCCTCCATCTTCGAAACCCAGCCCCCCCGTCTCGGTCCCCATGCATCTCCCGTCTCGCTCCCCTCCATCTTCCCCACCTCCACATCCATCTTCCGTCCCCGACAACGCACGCTTTGTCTCGCTCTTCTGCGGCGCTAGCGACTAAACGAGAACCCAAGCATCGGAGATGCTTATGGGAAAAAGCAACAAACAGTGCAACCCAAAAAAAAACTAGCAACACAAATAACGACCAAGAAAGCAGAATAGAAAA